CCTCTTGTTGCTCCCTTCCTGCCCCTTGAGTTTCTAGCACAGGAGGACTGCTGGACTTGCTGGCCAGTTAATGTAGCCAAATCCGTGAGCTCTAGGTTCAGGGAAAGATTGTGTCTTAATAAATAAGATGGAGAGCAATAAGGCTGCCACTTGATGTTGACTTCTGGTTTCTACACACACACACACACACACACACACACACACACGCACGCACACGCACAGATACGACACATGCACAGCAACATGAACACATACGTTGAAAGGAAGAAAAAAAATCACTCATCGGCTCATGTAAAAGTCTCCCACCGAAGTATCATATTTACAGTAGCACATACTTTTGATATCTGTGATGCAGTTCTGTTTCTTGATTTCATCATTCTTGAAAGTTATTAAAAACTGCTTGTGACAGCAGCACGTGCTTGGCCAGGGTAGGGTGCAAGCCGAAGAGAAGGCTCAGCAGTCAAGAGCATGTATTGTCCTGACTACCTGAGCTCAGATTCCAGCACCCACATGGTGGCTCACAACCAGTTTGGGGGGATCTGATATCCTCTTCTGACTTCCATGGACACCAGACATGTGTGCGGTACACACGTGTACACACACACACACACACACACACACAAAATCTAAAAGAAAAAAAAACTGTTTGAAGGCTAAACATGTAGCTAAGTGGTTAGAGCACCTGCCTAGCAAGCAAGAGGGGCCGCCTTTGAGCTCTAGCATTAAAACCAAACAGAAAAGCCTGCATGAAAATATCATTTGAAGGGGCATAGTACAGCATCGCCAACACATATGTAATTTCTGTGACAGGGCAAAATGGCTGAAGCACAACAATCACAGCTTCTGATCTTTCCTCTTTTTTTTCCTTTTCCCCCTTGAGAGGGTCCTTCACTCAGCTCAGTTCTGGGGTGTATGCTGGGCAGAGCAGGGCTGTGGGTGGAAGAGAAACACAGAAAAGGGGCACGTCACAGAGGGGCACAGAATATCCCAGAGGAGCTGTGGGGGCAGTGGAGAATGACAGGCGGCCTGGGACGATAGTCTCAAGGTAAGAAGAGGATGTGAAGGGAGCCTTTGACCGAACACCTACATTACTTTTTAGTGCAGGGGTAGCAGTGTGGCTCTATGGTAGAATGTTTGCCCTCTACCCCGGGGGGTTCTGCATTCAATTCCCAGCCCAGTAAAACCAACAAAGGAGCCCTCAAATGAAAGCGCTTCTTTGAGCTTTTGGCCTCTGAAAGGTTCTGCCCTGCAGACTATCAAAGCAGATGTTGAGATTTATGGCCAAACTTTGGGCAGAGTGCAGGGAATCTTATAAAAGAAGTGGAAAATAGTAAAATCTGGGGAGGACAGGAACTCCACAAGGAGAGCAACAGAATGAAAAAATTTGAACTCAGGGGTCTTTCCTGAGACTCATACTCCAACCAAGTACCATGCATGGAGATAACCTAGAACCCCTGCACAGATGTAGCCCATGGTAGTTCAGTGTCCAAGTGGCTTACATAGTGATAGGAAGAGGGACTGCTTCTGACATGAACTGATTGGCCTACTCTTTGATCACCTCCCCCTGAGGGGGGAGCAGCCTTACCAGGCCACAGAGGAAGACAGTGCAGCCACTCCTGATGAGACCTAAAAGACTAGGATCAGAAGGAATCAAAAGAAACCCTCCCCTATCAGTGGACTTGGGGAGGGCCATGCGTGAAGAAGGGGGAAGAAAGGAGAGATTGGGAGGGGAGGAGAGAGGGAACTAGAGGGGGGATACAAAGTAAATAAAGGATAATTAAAAATAAAATAAAATAAAAATAAAAAAAAAGTGCCTTCAGAAATCCAAAAAAAAAAAAAAAAAAAATTCTTTGCCATAGCAGGCTAGAAAAATGGCCAGGGTTACATGTGGTTCTTCTAATGGCTGAATTTGAGATTTTTAAAATGTTTTGAAATCCATAATGCTTTATTAAAGTTTATTGACACTGATTATTTATCATTGAAAACAGTTATTCTTTTAACAGCTAGGGGGGAAAAAAAGCCCACCACAGTCAAGCAAATCCTACCTGGGGAAAGCTTGCTTTTGCTGTCAGTAGTATTTTTTTCTAGTTTGTTCTTGGTCTGCATAGCAATTGTTTCATCCAAGTTTTCTAGAGAGAAAAGAAGTAATATGCCTTAATTTCCTAAGAAATTAAACTTTTGCTCTCATATGTGATGGTTACAGGTGTGCACCACAGCTCCTGTCTTAGATTTTATTCATTTTTATTTTTTTTGTTGTTGTTTCTTTTTTTTTTTTTTTTTCTACACAGGGTTTCTCTGTGTAGCTTTGGCTGTCCTGGACTCACTTTGTACAACCAGGCAGGTCTTGAACTCACAGAGATCCACCTGCCTCTGCCTCCCTGACTGCTGGGATTACAGGCGTGTGCCACTGCGCCCGGTTTCAGTTTTATTTTTAATTTCCTTTAAAGCATCTTTAAAGTATCTCATTCTACTCTAGGCTGGCCTGAAAGGTTCGCTGCAGCCAAGGCTGGCTTCCAACTCCATTTGAATCCTCCTACCCTGGCTTTCCCAGTCCTGGGATTACAGGCTTGAGACACAATGCCTTCTTGGCCAACCGGCTTAGCTAGTAAGCACTTCATTTTAATGACTTTTGTTTTTTTTTCAAGACTGAGTTTCTCTGTAGCTTTGGTTGTCCTGAACTCACTTTGTAGACTAGGATGGCCTCGAACTCTCAGAGATCTTCCTGCCTCTGCCTCCCTGAGTGCTGGGATTATAGGCGTGCGCCACCAGGCCTGGCTCTGACTTTTCACTTCAGTAACAACTTGTGGTTAGTGGTTACCATGTTAGAGACTTGGCTTCTGGTAGCGGCAGGAACAGTTGTTTCCGCTAAGTCTTTGCAGCATCTCTGCCTTATTTCCACAGGAGACATGCCAAAGCACAGAATTCCTCAGTCACACTGTTGACACTGTCCCGAACAATGTCTGCTCTACGTTGTGGTCCTGTGGGTCATGACCCCTTTTGGGGTCACATATCAGATATCCTGTATGTCATATATTTACACTAAGATTCATAGCAGTGGCTGGGCGTGGTGGTACATGCCTTTAATCCCAGCACTCTGGGAGGCAGAGGCAGGCAGATCACTGTGAGTTTGAGGCCGGCCCGGTCTACAAAGCAAGTCCAGGACAGCCAAGGCTACGCTGAGAAACCCTGTCTCAAACAAAGAAACAAACAAGATTCATAGCAGTAGTGGTTCTCAAGAGATGGGTTGTAACTCCTTTGGGGGGGTCCAACAACGCTTTCACAGGGGTTGTCTAAGACCCTGGGAAAACACAGTTATGATTCATAACTGTAACAAAATTACAGTTCTGAAGAAGCAACAGAGATAATGTTACGGTTGGGGGGGTCACCATTAAAGGGTGGCAGCATTAGTTGGATTGAGAACCACTGTGTTAAGGAATAGAGTTGGCCAGACACTACCAACTTGTAACATGAACACACTTCCTTTTAAGGTAAAGAACGTAAGTATGTACACACATATACCTAATCAGACATCTGGAAGACTGTAAATTAAAATGTTTTGAGGGGATTGGTCTCGGGAATGATTTTTAACTTTTTTTTATATTTCTCTTTTGGCTTGAATGGTTTTTTACAAGAAATATGTTTCTTTTTTTTTTTTTTTAAGTAATAAAACCAAAACCAGTAAAACTGTTTTTATGTAGAAAACTCTGGATTCCTGCTGAATAATTTTTGGATCACGTGGACCTGTGGCATTGCCTCATCTACTTGTTTCTCTTTGCCCCAGCAGAGTAAGAGGCTATGAGGCCATCTTGTCCTAAGCACATGGGTGGTGAAAATACTCAGAGAAACAAAAGTACTTAAAAAAAAAAATCAAATAATAGAGCACCTGCAATACATACTGGAGAAACCATATTTAACGTCTTAGATTTATTTATTTACTTTATGTGTGTGGATATTTTGTTTGTATGCATGTATGTGTACCATGTGTACTGGCTAGTTTTATGTCAACTTGACACAAGCCAGAGTCTTTTGGGAAGAGGGGACCTCAGTTGCAAAAAAAATGCCCCCCAAAGATTGGCTCATGGGCAAGCCTGTGAGCAAATCTGTGCTGCATTGCCTTGACTAATGATTGATTTGGAAGTGCCCGGATGACGGTGAATGGGGCCAGCCCTGGGTTAGCGGTACTGAGGGCTGCAAGAAAGCAGACTGAGCAAAGGCAGCAGGCTGTGTTCCTCCCTGGCCTCTGCATCAGCTCCTACCTCCAGGTTCCTGTCTACTTCTCGTAACAGTGGGGTGGTACCCGAGAGTTGTCTCATCCTTCATTTCACAGACATAAGAAGTGAAGCCTTGCGAGGCGCAGGGCCTGCCCAGCAGAGCAGAGAGAGGCTCCTGATGCCTAGCCAGCACTCTCCCTGCTCACCACATACAGTAACTATTCAGAGGGGAAAATCGAGAGTTAATCCAGACCTCTACACACAAGTAAAAAAAAAAAAAAAAAAAAAAAAAAAAAATTAGTGAGTTAAATTGTAATAAAATTCCTCCCTGGAGATTATTATAAAACACTAATAAGATTTAATATAAAAATGTGGAAGATTTTTCTTCCAGCAGTATTTATTAAGAGGAAAAGTAGAAAACATCTAATTCATTTTATTTGTATGCATCGTCAAGCTGGGCAATTCGGTTACCCTGGAGATCTGGGCTGCTCTGGCATAAATCATCAAATTAGTGAGGTGATTATTGCCAGATTCTTAATTTGCTTTGAACAGTGAAAACAGCCGTGGTAAAAATAAAGCAGAATCCTCACCAAGGTAGGAAACCCCTTCCTCTGGAGATATTGTACCGTATTTGACCATCATCTTCACAAAATCAATCAGCGTCTTCATGATAGTGATCAGTGTTTCTTTCTCTTTTGCTTCTTTTTCTATGTCAGAAAACAAAATAATTAATTAAAATTTTTTATTCATATTATTTTATGTGCATACCCATATGTGCTTTGCATCCATATATGGGTGTGCAGTACCTGCACAGACCAGAAGAGGGGGACAGATCCCTTGGAACTGGAGTTACAGAGGGTGGTGAGCCACAGCGTGGGTGCTGGGAACTGAACTTAAGTCTTCTGCAACAGCATCCAGTGCTCTTAACTGGTAAGCCATCCCTCCAAACCCCATGAGAACGAAAGTAAAGACAACTAATAGAAAATGTTTTTATCTCTTATTGTCAATTTATGAAGCATAGCATTGGAATTATTGAAATATCTCCTCTTTCATTTATAACAAAATCCACATACATTTAACTGAAAAACAAAACAAAACAAAACAAAACAAAACAAAACAAAAAACAACCCAACAATCTAAGACATTATTGGGAACATAGGGCAGTATATAGCCATACAAAACTGCTTTTAGAAAAGAGTGCACTTTAACTCTTCCATGGGGCTTTAATTACATCTGAAATATTGCAGGAATAAAGCAGACAACAAAGAGATCTTCTGGGACTGTAGCTCAGTTGGTATAGGGCCTGCCTACTGTGTACAAGGTCCTGAGGTTTAAGCTCCAACATCGACTAAAACAGATGGCGATGATACATGCCTCAGCATCTGGGAACCGGAGGCAGGAGGATTAGGAGTTTAATGTCATTCTTGGATATTGAGTTTGAGGTCAGCCTGGAATATATGACACTGTCTTAAACAAACCCGAAGAATAAAACAAATAAGGAACATCCCATTCAGCGGCATTTTAAAAATACCATAAAACTCACAGGTTGGGAGGAAGATGAGTTGGGGAGATCCTGAATGGGACGTGACAGATGGCTTTAGACATCAGAGCACTGGATCAAGGGTGCACATGGGTATTTAACACTATGCTGAGGCTCTTCAAGGATGATAAGTGACTCAACAGAATGACAGAGGTTCTGAGCTGGTCATTTGACAACCAATGGGGCAAGGCGGCTCAGAACAGATTTTACAGACACACAGCTCTATGGATTCAAGCCACGAGGCCTGTGCCATCTGGTCAGTGTCTGGACCTGAAGGACGAATCGAATTCTCTGGGAATGGAAGCTCATTCCACGATCACTTTATGGAGTAAACAATTCCAGAAATTTTTACACAGTTGTTCTCTTGATGACTGCGACAGGGACAGGGGAGGCCGCTGGGCAGTGTAGAGTACCAGCCTGAACAGTTACAGAAGAGCTGGGGACTACCATCCTTTGCAGAGTAACCAGAAACAGAAACCAAATCTTGCAGGCAGCTCAGGATGCATGTGACTGACAAGACCAGGGTAGGACTTGTTTGAAAAAGAACAATTTCCCACATGTGTTTGCATCCCTGACCTCTTTTCATCCAATGTTCATTTGAACTCACTGGAAAAAAAAATCAAAGCTGTATATGTCTAGTAAGCAATGTTTTGAATAATTTCAAGAAGAACAAATAAGGTTCCCACTAAGAGAGGAAAATGAAGAAAGAGTTGCAAAAGATTTAATACAACTGGCAGGATTTCCTCTTGATGTTTTGTTTTGCTTTTGACAATGTGCCTAGGAAACACACTGGGTAAAATGAGCCAGACACAGAGACAGTTAATACTGCATTCTCTCAGCAATGAACTTGAGGCTTCATTATCCATGGATTCAACTAGCTGAGGATCAAAAATACTACAGAAAAAAACAAAAAACAGACTGCCTATTTTTTTTTTTTTAAAGACATAATCTGGCTGTCCTGGAACTTACTTTGTAGACCAGACCGGCCTTGCACTCACAAAGATCCACCTGCCTTTGCTTTCCTATTTCTGGGATTAGAGGCATGCGCCACCACTGCCCAGCTAATTGAATGCATTTTTTTTTCTTTTTTTTTACTGAGCACAGACAGTAAGTTTTCCTATCATCATTCCCCAAGCATTACAACCATTTGCATGGCCCTTGCACTCTGGTAGACATTGTAAGTAATTGAGAGAGGATTTGAAGTCCATGGAAGGATGTGTGATGATTACATGAAAACACTATTTCCTATCCCCATGACGTATACATACACACTTTCTGTCTCTCTGTGACTCTGTCTCTCTTTTTCTCTCTCTCTGTGTTACTAGTAACCAAATCTGAGCCCCTGGACATGCTTGGCAAGTCCTCTATCTCTGAGCTTCAGCCATAGCCCTCACACTACTTTATAGAGAGTCCACATAGATTTTGAAGGCGGTCCTGACACTTACTCTACATGTCTGTGGAATATAAAATAGCCAAGATCACAAAAGTAGAAGGTAGAATGCCTGAGGCTGGGTAGAGAGGGTAAAATGGGAAGATTCTGGTCAAAGGTATGAAGTTTCTGTTCTACAGTGTGAATAAGTCCGGAGACTGTGCAGCTTGGAGGCTATGGATGACAACACTGAATTACATACCTGAAATATGCTAAGAGGGCAGATTCTCACAATAACAAGAAATAAAAAAGAGACAATGGTAACTATGTGTGTGACAGACATATAGTCATTGGCCTGACCATGATAATCATTTCACAATGCAGATGAAAGCCAAAACATCATATACAACTGTGTGTGTTTGTACGTAGCCAAGGCTGGACTCAAGATCACAATATAGACCAGGCTGGACCCATTCTCATAGTGATTCTTCTACCTCAGCCTCCCAAGAGCTAGGACTGCAGGGGTATACATATCAGTTACACTTCAATAAAGCTGGGGACAAAGCATTAAGAAAATCTGAAGGGCCAGAGAGACCAACATAGGCGCCAGGAGCACTTGCTGCCAAACCCGATGACCCAAGTCCCAACCCTAGGGCCCTTGTCAGACAAAAACCTGCCTCCTGCAAATTGTTTTCCAGTCTTCATAAGTGCCCAGTAGTGGCACACATGACCACACACAAAATGAATGAATAAATAAATAAGATAAAAAGGCTGATAACAAAAAACAAAACAAAACAAAACAAAACAAAAAAAAACAAAAAACCCAAAAAACAAAACAGCTACCCTAAGAGTAAAAGCTGAGCTGGGTCAGGGCAGGATGGTGACTCATCTCAGCATGTGACAGAGTTGGGTACCAGTGCACAGCAGGTGTACCACGACTGTTTATCAAACAATTAAGCCAACTGTCTGTAACAGGATTAAATTATCCAGAAACTCCACATTTCCCGATTTCTCTTTCCGAGACTAGAAAACTGCTTTCAGAAAAAAAAAAACAAAACGGATGTGAAATGTTTTCCCCAGCCAGCAGTGCGTGTCAGGGAGGACTGCACTTGGGAACTGAGAACAGGAAGAAAGCCGCCCACACGCTTCCAAGAATGACTGTCTCATTTCCCCTCCACACGGTCATAAAGCGCCCGATACCTGAATCGATGCTTGTCAGTAGTGCATAGAAGTTGGGGAAATACTGGAGTTCCTCGAAGTCATCTTCCCTGTTGGGGTTAGTTCTCCTTTCCAGGCCGTTGGACAAGGTCAAGGTGTTAGATACGGTCTCATCATTTTCTCTGTTGTTAGTAAAGCCATCTTGAGTGGCTGCTGCCGGAGTCTTCAGTAAGGGAAATATAACAATAGAAAACAAACATGGTTTACAACTAATGTAACTCTAGTTCAATTCTCTCATTTCCGGTGACCTTGAATGTGAACTCATCACAAGGTACTGTAGGTTCTGGGTATGAGGTATCTTGAGAAAGTATGATGGCGTGGCTCAGGAGAGACTAGACTGAGGATTTCTGTGGTTCTACTTTGGCCAAGTTTTCCTCCATGAGTTTTTCACTGAGGAGGACAGAGTTTTGATTCACACAGTGTAGGGGTAGGGTGGGGTGGACCAGGTCATTGTAGGAAATCTCTTCAGACTGTCCACCAGGAACAGAGGACTCACACCTCAAAACATCTGGGAGGTATTTGTGTCTGGATGATGAGATGCGTAAGATATATATATTCTCCCCTCAGACCTCATCCTTGTTTCTATTTTGGCAAAAGCTCCTTTGCCATCCGGTAGACTAGGCATACATCTAAGAGCTTTTCTTAACTTTTTCCTTTATTTCTCCACAGCTGATCCATTAATGCCCTCGTTGGCTTGACTTTCAAATCTTACGGCAATTTGTACTTCTCTTTCTCCAGTAACCCATGTTAATACAAGCAGCCGTTCATGCCCCACTGTCTACCTGGTACATCACTTACTTCGAATGGCTTCTCAGTTCAATATCTTATACCCAGTGGGCAGATGTATCCTTCTAGCAATGTGATTTTACAGCTCCTTTGCTTAAAACCTCCTACAAGGAGGCCAAAGGCATACCTGGTAAAGGGCTTGCTGTAGGAACACAGGAGTTTGATCCCTGAACCCGCATTAAAAATAAAAGTTGAGCCCGGTGGCACACGCTTGTAATCCCAGAGCTAGGAAGGCATAAATAGGCACATTTCTTTGGCTGGATGACCAGCCAACTTATTTTCTCTAGGTCTGTGAGAGACCCTGTTTCAAAGCACAGGACAGATGGTGCCTGAGGAATAGCACCTGAGGTTGTCCTCTGGCCTTCACATACATGTGCATGTATGCATGCACGTGTATGCAACACACTCACCTGTATACATGAACACATGCACCCGCACCCCCCCCAATCCCTGCTATAGTTTGGATAAGGTTTGGATATAGTTTGACAGGTTTGTACCTGTCAAAACTAACATTAAAATTTACACTGAAGGTCGGGCCTTGGAGATATAGTGAGCTCATGTAAGCTCCGCCCTCAGGAATGGATTAATGTCTGTATTGGTTTGAATGAGGTTTTCCCCATTTGATTACCTGGTCCCTCAGGTGATGCTGTCTTCCAGGGAGGCTTAGGAGGTGTGGACTTGTTGGAGAAAGTGTGTCCCTGGAGGCCTGCTTTGAGATTTCAAAGCTACACACCATTCCCAATTTGCTCTCTGCTTCCTGTTTACAGTTTAAGATACAAACCTTCAGCCTGCCTCTCCAGCCTCCATGCCAGTTTGACACCATGGCAATGGGGCTGGGCTTTTATCACTCTGGAACCACAAACCCAGATAAATGCCTCCTTTGTAAGTAGCCCAGGTCATAGTGTTTTTCACACTATGTTACGGAGACATGCCTTTCTTGAGACAGAGGCAGGACAGAAGATAGGGACAATGAAGAGGACACAAGAAGGAAAGGAAACCCTTGCCCTGGGGTCTGCTTTGCTTTTATTGTTGCCAGGGTAAAGAAACTTGAACAAGGCCTAAATTGCCTTCAGAGATAATGGTATGTTAATGGCCTCTCAAACAGGGGTGTTTAGAGCAACAAATGCTCCAGGGCTAGACTGTTGTCAAATTTGCACCCCTCTCTCATCTTTAAATCTAAGCAATGCACCTCACAAAACCACCTTGCAATTTCATTTACAAAAGAAAACCTACTTGCATTATTTTATTTTATAACTTTACTTAATTGCAAGCTTGCTTATTCTTTTTATGAGTACATTTAACTAATTAATTATTTGATTTAGTATGTGTGTGTGTGTGTAAACATTCATGCATGTTGATGGCCAGTCATGTGGGTGTTGGTCAGAGGACAACTTCAGATACTTGGTTCTCTGTCTGCCGTGTGGGCTGCTTAGGTCAAAAGGCTTGGCAGTGAGTGTCTTCACCCGCTGAGCCATCTGAAGGCTTCAGCCTTCCTAACATTTTAAACATGAAAGGCGTACCCTTTGTGCAATCTAACTTAAAAAGGCCCAGGGTCCCAGTCACAGCCATCATAAGGACATACAAGTGTGGCTCTCAGGGAGCCTGCACCCACAGCCTAGGTGTATACTGCTTTCCTGTGAGTTTCTGTCAAAACAGTTAACATATTGGCTGGCTTTGCCTCACCCTGGCTTGCCCTGGGATTAGTTTCTGAGCCATGGTCAAGAATCCGGCTTTACCTGAGTGGAAGCCTTAGGTGAATGGGTGCTCCTTGTGGGTGCTGGTGGCTGTGCTAGGCTATGTCTTCCCATTGTTGACAAGACTCACCTAGATGCAGCAGCCTAGCTACCTTGTGAGAGAGTTGTTAAAAGGTAGCTGGCAGCCGGGCGTGGTGGGCAAGCTCCACGCTCAGGAGGTAGATGCAGGTGGATCTCTGTGAGTTTGAGGCCTGCCTGGTCTACAAAGTGAGTCCAGGACAGCCATGGCTACACAGAGAAACCCTGTCTCAAAAAAACAAAACAAAACAAAACAAAACAACAACAAAAAGGCTGTCATGGCTCTTACACACACACCTGCTCGTCCTTCCCTTTCCCTTCTCAGCACACGACCTTACCAGAAGACCAGGAACTGTCCCATCGTCAGCTCTCTACCCTCCAAAGCTGTAAGCTAAGAGCATTTCTTTTTTTTTTTTAAAGGCTTAATTATTTTTACACGTATGGGTGTTTTGCTTGCATGAATATCTGTGTAGCACACATATGCCTGATGGAGGTGGCGATCAGAAGAGGACCCCCGAGGCTGGAGTTACAGAAGGTTGTGAGTCACACCACGTGGGTGCTGGGAATCTGATCTGCAGCCTCTGGAGGAGAAGTCACCCATCCCGCCAGCCTCTATTCTTTTCTTTATAAATTATATAGTCCCAGGTATTCTGCTGTGGCAACAGGAAGTGGATGAAGGCAAAATCCTTTCGTATTTCCCCTCGGCTTTTCTGGCAGGCATCAGACCCCACCTATGGCTCTCGAGGCTTTGTGTGGTCTGGGCTGGGTCTCCTCCTGAGTCTCTTTCTGTGTCAGCCATAAGCCCCTGTGTTAGTTGCCTGGATGCCCTACACATGTGGCCTCTCCTGTTTACAAGTTAATCCTATTTGACTTTTAGTTCTCAGCTCACATTGCTTCCTTAGGGAGGCCTTCTTTCAGCCTAAGTGCCGAATGGGGGCCTTTTCTCAAAGCACTTGATGCAGTTGCCATTGTAACGACCACTCTTTTCGGACAGTCTGAGTCTCCCACTGGAACTTAGCCTTTCTGGGAGGAGAGACCGTGTCTTTTTAAATGAGCACGACATTCTCAGCCCCATTCGGTACCCCGAAAGAATATTTTACTCCCATTGGTGCATCTAGAGGATATGAACAACAAGCCAAGCGCACGGACATTTTAGAAATGAATGAATAGAGCAAGCGAGGGGTCTTGAAACTGTTTCAGTTCAGACCTGTACGCTTGTTCTCTTGTGAATATGGAGAGTGTCATGGTTTGAAGAAGAGCCCCCACATAGATTTGAATGCTTGGTTACCAGGGAGTAGGGCTATTAGGAGGGGTGTCCTGGTTGGAGTAGGTGTGGACCTGTTGGAGGAAGTGTGCCAAAGTGTGGGCTCTGAGGTTTCAAACGCCTAAGCCAGGCCCAGTGCCTCCTGCTTTTCCTGCTGCCTGCCAATCCAGACGTAGAACTCTCAGCTACCTCTCTAGCACCACATCTTCCTGTATGTTGTCATGCTCTCTGCCATGATGATAATGAACTAAATCTCTGAAACTGTGAGTCAGCCCCAATTAAATGTTTTCCTTTATCATGGTGTCTCTTCATAGCAATAGAAACCCTAACTAAGAAAGAAAGCTTTTTTTTTTTTTAAGAGCAGGTAGATCATTAAAAGATATTTGAATAGGTGCCAGTTACTAGGACTTGGCACCAAGGAGAGAAAGGGAGAGTCTTTAGGATATCAAGGCAGAAATTCAGAAATAATCTTATTTTCTGGCCCTGGTGGTACATATCAGTAATCTGAGCACTTGGGAACCTGGGAGGTAGAGACAGAAGGATTTGATCTAGAGTTCAAGGACAATTTGGGGTACACAGAGAGTTAAAGGCTAGCCTGGACTACATAAGACAAACACACACACACACACACACACACACACACACACACACACACACAGACTAAACCCACACAAACATTACCATAATGTATGCGGTGGTTCATGCCTATAACCTAGCACCTAGAAGGCCAGAAGGCAGATTTACCACAGACTTGAGCCCAGCTTAAATACCGTTTGAGACCTGGTTTTAAAACAACCACCTTCTGGTCTGGAAAACCAGACCAGATAACAGACGTACTATACCCTATAAGCCTTTGCTTTTTACTGGAGAAGATCCCAGAGCTGATAAAAAGTACGCTTCAGGTCTGGGTCCTCAGGTGGGGGAAAATCAAAAGCATGGCGAGGAATCTGACAGCCTCCTATGGTTTGTTTCTTTAGAATTATAAGGAAAACTGAAGGAGAGAAAGATCGCAGTAGCCTTGTTGATTCCAAGAGGAAAATGCGGAGGAGGCCAGGAAGAGAAAATAAGGATGAATGGTGCGGTGGTTTGAACAGGAACGGCCCCCACAGACTCACGTGTTTGAAGGCTTGGCCCTTAGGGAGTGACACTATTAGGAGGTGTGGCCTTGCCGGAGGAAGCCTGTGATTGTGGGGGTGGGCTTTGAGCTCTCCTGTGCTCAAGCTATGCCCTTGTGCTGCCCGCATATCAAAATGCAGAACTCTCAGCTCCTTTCCAGCACCATGTCCGCCACGCTCCCTGTGACGATAATAACGGACTAAACCACTGAAACTGTAAGCCAGCCCCGATTAAACGTTCTCCTTCCTAACGAGTGGCCGTGGTCACGAGACCTCCTCACAGCACTAGAAACCCTAACTAAGACAAGTGGCAAGCCCAGGTGAAAGGTGACAGGCAGGCTTCTGAGCCAATGCAAAGGGGAAGGAGCAGGTGTAAGAACACAGCCTAGAAAAGAGGAACAGTGTAGGTCTGGGAGGAATAGTGCTATCTACTCCCCTTTGTGTGTGCGAGCATGTATGTGTATGTATGTGTGTGTGTGTGTGTGTGTGTGTGTGTGTGTGTGTGTGTGTGTGCGCGCGCGCATGCGCACATGTATAAGCAGAAACATGCCCTGGGAGTAGGTGAAAACATTCATTGTAAATGGAAGTTGAATACCCGAAAAGCTGTGGGGTACTGGTCCCAGCACACTGGGGTGGTATAAATAGTTGTGGAATATGATATATGATGCTCCAGTATGCTAAAAATACCAAACTCTTCCAATCCTCGTTGGCATCCAGCAAGGCACTAATTGTGCAGAGATACAAAAACACGCGTGCCCATGTCACGCACACCTTCCTGACACGCGTGAACGTACCACTTTCTCCGGTATTTTTCCATCCTGATTCTCGGTCCTGCTTGTGGGCTTATCCAGAGCCTCCTCCTCATAATTGTTGGCTTCTTTCGAAATCAATTTTTGCAAAGCCTCTGCTACTTCCTCTTCCAGGGTATGTGCCTGGCTTTCAGTGATCTGTCGTAAAGAGACCAAGCACATATAACTGCTACTCCTCCTCCTGGCTTTAAACAAACGTACAAGCAAACATCATCTGAACTCCATTCGTGGCCTTTCGGCTCAGATCAACTGTAAAGCCCAGCTGAACATACAGGCACTATGTAAGCATCCAAAGCTCAAGCTTCGGGGAGACCTACTCCGCTAGGACTCCTGTGAACTCCATCAAGTACCAGCATGGCACGGTTACCCGGAGGGTGCAGAAGTGGCATGCATAGCTTCACAGAAACTACCAGCTCTCTAGTGAGACGTAAGGCCCAGCTCAACAAAAGTGAAAACATACCTGGGTACCAGAGACCTCACTACTTGGTGCTGGTGAAGTCATGGAAACTGGAGGAAAATCTACAACCACCATAATCTCTGATGACACTCTAAACTTTTGTCCTTATACTCACAGAGATGAGTGTAGCCTTCACCCATGATCGAGGCAGCTTCTCTTTGCAACGGACAATCCCTTCTAAGACGGGCTTTGACAGTCACCGCCCAGCACTCCAGGACGAAATGTCTTTTAGACTATTCATACAGGCTGCCAGTGCTACTTGCTGAAACCTTACGGATGTTTCCAGGAGGGCTGCTGCTCTACAGCTTCCGGTCACATGGGCAGTTCCATACCCCTTGTAACTGGAAAGTGAGAACCTTAGTAAAACCTGCTGGGCCTGTGTGAGGGCTGAGCAGCCAAGCTGAGGCTAGGGATGGCTCAATGGCTCAGAGTTCCTCAAACATACACTGCAAGTCTCTGTTTGCGTTATTTCTGGTTTTGCCACATACATCCTCTGCCAGTTATATCCTGACTTCCCTTCTAAGCTCACTTTACATACCTCTCCCTCCGCAGTCTTTCCTGACTTCCTTGCCTGGCAAGCTGTGCAGCTTCATCTGACTCTCGGGCGGCTTGTGTGATGGGTGTATGTGTTTATCTGGCTCTTCGGGAAAACTCAAGGGAATTCTTTGGAGCCTAGTACAAAGCAGGTGTACCATAAACACTCGGGTGGTGGCATTATGAGGCCTGACTCAGGGCACGGCAGACTGTACCAAGAACCGAGTTCACTCTCACGCGTACAACTTACGAGGCCGAGATTCAGCAGTTTAGAAACGATCTTGTCAAACACTCCTCTGTCGTTCTCCTCATAAATCCTGGTAGCAATTTTATGGACAATATCTTCAGCAGTTAAAGGAGTTCCATCCAGTTGATGAAGTCCATCTGGGTCATCTAGACAGAGCAAGCAAGGCTTCACATCATGGCAAGTATAGACCTATCCTACGCATCATATTATAACCTATACTTTTAAAATACTTAGAATTTTTCTTACATTTGTTTATTTATTATTATTTACTTATCATCCATCTATTTCGAGATATGACCTACTGGGTCACCCTGGCCGGCTTGGAACTTGCAGCAATCATCCATCCTCTGCCTCTTGAGTGTTGAAATCACAGGCACAATTTACCATGCCTGGCTGCGACAGAGCCTCCGTGTAACAAAGCTTAATGTGCTAAACTGCAGTCTCCGAAAGACAGGGGGACTTATTTTATGAGCTTGGAGTCAAAACTTTAAAAGAAAGCAAGAGACGTGCACAGACAACGGGCGAATCTTTGTGGAAAAGCCTGCGAGTATATGTCCTCAAGTTTTCCTGGGAATACACTTGGCAGTGTAACTCCAGACTAAAGCAAGAGCCTCCTGAGTGAGGGAAAGGGGCTTGGTGTGATGGGTGAGTCACTCCTGCAGTCCGAGCATTTGGGAACCTGAGGTAAGAGGGTTTGCTAGCCTGAGCTACAGAGTGAGACCCTGTCTCAAACAAAACAAAACGAGTCCAAACTCCAAACAACAAATAACATGAGAGAGAAAGGAGATGAGGGTGATGAGACTTTGTACCACTTGCACAAGAATCCCAGAAATCTATACCACATGGAGGAGATCCAATTTACGAAGTGGTTGGCTTTCCCTGTCCAGTGGAGGCAGATGGGAAAGGTCAGTAGTTTAGACCAGTGACATTTCTTGCCATTTACACAACCTTGCCTCACTGTACAAAATAATAAGGGTATTGGGCTGTGTGTTTAGGTCAGTGCTAGAGTGCTTGCCTAGCATTTTTAAGCCCTGGCTTAGAGTCCCAGTACTGAACACAAAACAAAACAATGAAACAAGCGAATACGGACAAACAGGGACATTTAATTAATGTGCTCTTAATGGCATTGTTGGAAGGAGCAGATAAAACAAGGTGTTAAAGCCATCTTTTGGGTCATGTGTGGAAGAGTGTACTATTATAACTACGCAGAGTCGACTTGGATTTTTAATTAAAGGGACCGTGATTACCTTCTGGAGAAAGCGAAAACCAAATTGCTGGCCAGATATGCTACAAATAATGCTGTGTGTATGTGTGTGTGTGTATGTGCTGGCTTTGAACTCACAAAGATCTTCCTGCTTCTGCCTCCAGGGTGCTGAGATTAAATGCATGCAGCATTATGTCCAGCACTATGAATAATCTTTATCGCTTTCACTCAAAGAAAGAACAACTCAATTTCCATCCCGATTCTGCCCTTTTCTTCCAAGGCCCTCGGGAATTTGGCCAGGGAATTTCTCCCATGGTGTGGCCTTTTTTCTAGAGCGTGGCGATGGGGGCCACAGCCTCAGGCAGACCCCTTCCCTGTCTTTTGGAAGCAATCTTATTAAGATGAGTGGTGATGATACGCAAAGGCTGACATCCTCTTCAGCTGGGAGGCCTTTGAGACCCAAGTACCAGAATGACAAGAATCATAAAATTAGTTCCCCTCTTGGCTGGTTGGAAGTTGAGCTCTTCATCTGTTTCTCAGGAGCACGGCGTCTCTATCGCTTCGGTCTGAATTTTCCATTTGTGGGTTGCAAGCCAGGCACTGGGGAATAGTCCTCCATCTATGCAGAGGTGGAAGAATTTACTTCCCTCCGCACTTATCCCTCAGGATCTGAGAAAGGAAGAATGTTGGCTGCCTGCTGAAGCTGGAAAATAACCCAGCTGACTGTTTTCAGTTCATTTACTTAGAAGGCTGGTAACTCAGAAGAAATATCTTCCTCCTCTGCTGGCCCACTGCAGGCTCTTTAGCCAGGGACTCAGGTCTCCCACAGTGGAACTTTGCTAGCTGCAGTTGAAGGTGAAGAAGCACATGGCCACTGCCCTTACCTTCCATCAGTTTCTCCCAAGCTCTTTGAAAATGAGCAGAATACCTTACGGTGTTTTTCCTCCTGTGCACAAAGGAGAATTTTATGCTCCCTGTGTGAAGCCTCAGAAAGAAGCCGGCAGGGGTTCACATTTTAAGCCTTCAGGCAGCTACAGTGTCCTGTACAGACATCAAAGGACTGTGCCCTGCCATTATCTCCCTGGTATCCCAGTTAGTACCTGGAATTCATTTCTCCAGTAAAATTAAAGTCTTAAGATGTGCCAGACACCGGAGGCAGAGCGATGGCTCTATCTAGTATTTCACTCAGCACCAGGGATTCATTTCTCGGTCAAATTGAATTCAGATCTTAATGTCTGCCAAACACCAGTAAAGTGATGACTGGGTTCAGCATGGTCCCTGGATGCCCTGAGCTTATTATCTAGTTCATAGCTTGCAATGTAGGAATTACGTGCTAAGTCTTGCTGGTGAACACCCAAAGGAGGCTAAAGCATAAGTAGATTAAAAAAAAAAAAAAAAAAAAAAAAACAACAAAAAAAAAAACAACAACAACAACTGGCAAGAATCTTGAATTTGGAGCTTCCTTAAAGATGGGCTTAGGTCCGAGTAGGACATAGCCTGCCAAAGATAATCTCCCTTACCCTGCCTTCTGGGATGAAGCTTGCACTTCTTTAATGTTCTGTTCAAATGCCTCAGTAGGTTCAAACCCTCTGGCTGTAGGATTTGCAGCCTACAAGAGGAAAGGAAACTAGGTGGTTTTTTTTTTCCCTCTCAAAGTAGTCTCTCTAAACTGACCCTTGACTCAGTTTCTCTAGGATCTCAGGTAAAGTTAAAGTAAATTCTAGGATAAGCCTAAAACCCTAAGGACAAGCTCTAGAGTTCTAAACCTATGAGTTGACAGTAAAATAAATAATTTAGTAAGCAGCCGTTCAAGTTAGTGGTCAAGTCACAAGAAAATCCATGTCTCTGCGGGCGCCTATAACCAGTGGGACTACATTCTTTTTATATTTTATTAAACCAAATGTTCTCTTCAACCTGAGTGATTAAATTTGTTTTTGGACACAGTTATGCCCAGTGCCTGTTTGCTTCTGGCCAATATACTTTGTGTTAAAAAGGAGAATTCAATATTTAAATTCCCCAAGTAGCAAAACATAAATCATTGCCTCTGTCTAACTAACACATAAGATCCACTTCTAAACTCCCCCCAAGACTATGACGTTCTGTGAAAGTCCCATTTAATTGGGAGTCATGCCCCTCCCTTCCCCAGATAATCAACATAATTCTCTCGTTGCCATGAAACAAAATAAGGACAGAGAAGAGAGCCTGCATTCACTTCTCAGCACCGGTCTGCAGAATGGGAAACGCTTCCTCCTTTCCAGGACGCCTCATATCAATTCACTTATTCCCTCACACATTCTTGCATCTCTTCACCCATTTATAGAACCACACAACGAATTAATGACTACTCAGGCCCTGGCCTAGAATGTCTCTCTTCTTGTGAGTTTTCCAATGTAGTTTTGGATAAAGACAATCATAAGTGGTCACAACTACAAATATAAAAGTTCAAACTACAAGAAGTGCAATGAAGGCAAGGGGCAAGGTGCTGATCAGATTATGCATGCCAGACAAACCCAGAAGTGTTTGACTAACCCTGAAGACGGGGACTGTATGCAGGATTTGGTCCCAAGAGAAGTGAGAATTTACTAAAGGGATTTATGGGAAATAACTTCATGCTCATAGCATACTTGCAATTCTGGCATCTATAAGTTGGAGGCATGCAACCCTCAAGATCCAGGCCAGCCTGAGCTACATGCAAGACCTTGACTCAACATGGACAAATGAACAAACAAACAAAACTAACTGGGCATGCTGTTCGCAGTTCCAACAGTCAGAAAGCTGAGGCAGGAGGATCATGAGCCTAAAGCTAGCTTAGACTATATAGGAAATACCGTTTAAAAAAAAAGTCTCAAGGGCTCTGTGGTTGTAGCTCAGTGGTAGAATGATTGCTTAGCAAGAATGAGGACCTGAGCTATTGAGCACTGTCTTCAAGGAATAGCTTGTACATATTACACTATTTCAATTCGTAGTTGTAGATTAAAAAGTCCGCTCCAGCTGTCTCATCATGAATAGGTTGAAAAAAAAAAAAAGCTGGAGTGTTTGCTGGGAGATGTGTAAAAGATTTTGCTGTAGTTCAAGTGAGATGTGATTGGGTGTTGGGTAAGGTTGGTGGTGACTGGGAACAGTAGTTGTCTGTTTGCAAAGACAAAGTTTGAAGATAACATGGGGAGCGAAAGAAATAAGCTTTGGAAGGTTATGACAGAGGTAAGAAAAAACTCAGGGTGCCAAAGGAAGAGAATTATCATAGGATTAAGTCAGTCTGGGATACAGAAAGTACCAGGCCAGCCAGACTGTCTCAGAAAAGTGATAAAGGTGATGATGGCAATTAGTTTCCCTTCCTGATGCTTTGAGAGAAATAAAAACCTGATGCCTGCATTTTACATCATTGAATGCATTTTATTATTTCTAGTCATTATCAGTAAATTTTGGCCTCACCTCAGCTTTGGCCTCGACAAATAAGAGCATATTATATGAGCATATTAGATATATTTTGAAAGTATGTGACCTTTTCTTAATATGTGATGAAAAATTCAAAATGAGAAAAAAAAAGGTACTGAGGCACCTTTTAAATCATTTACCTTGAAATTTGTGGTCCAGTCCGCTCTTGGTGGAATCGTACTCATCAATCAGCTTTCTGTTTTTCGTGGAATCAGTATCCTCTACGTTTAGTTTGTTATCAAACGGGATGCTTCTTATGGATTGCTTTTCTTTCTGAACTTTCTCCTTTTCTGCTATTGCCTTTAGCAGATTCAAGTTATCAACAGAAGAATAATTGCTTTCACGTGGCTTGCTTTCTGGAAACAAAAAAAGTTCCAAGCCCAATACATCCATTTTAGTTTAGAATCCCATGACCAACATTGTTTAACTGAACAGCAGTGTGATTTCCCTTTACCTGGAGGGTAGGCCTTTTTAATCTTGTCTGCCTCCGCCTCAGCGATCTGTGAAACAAACAGGAGACAGACCCGCTTTTAAATCACTGCTTCACTGCTTCCCAAGTGTCTGAGCCAAACGACTTACTCGCTATGAGACTTAGTTTTGTTTGTAAAACGCAGGTGAAAAGCACTGTTGTAAGGATTAAATGAAATAAAACCAAGGGCTGATAAGCTTTGAGTACTAATTCCTGTCTCCTATAACACTGACAGAAGATAAATCTTCAGCTGAGCATGGTAACATGTGCCTGTAATCCCAGCACTCAAGAGGATGAGACAGGAAGATCAAGAGTTTTAGGGCAATCACAGCAAGACTCTGTCTCAAGCAAAACAAAACAAGACAAAACAAGCCATGCACACGCTTTGGTAAAGTAAACAGTCTTCTACCAGTGGATACAGTATTGACCTCACTGTATCCATCACGTGGTCACTCTATATATTATACAGAACTCAGTGTACATAACTGGGAGAACATACAACTATCGAGACGAGATCTCACATCTTAATTTTTGTCAATTTAGCCTTAATCTCCTGGAGTTTATAAATGTAAAGTGGCTAAAATGCCATGACACAATGACAATAATTGATAATGAGGGTAAAATTTCATAAGCAGTTATAATTTTGCATCCAACCTACCTGTTCATTCAAAGGTCTTTCTGCACTCAGCTCTCTATTATGCAGAGATTTGTCTAGAATAAACACACATAAATATAAATTTAATGGTGCATTTGGGTGGTAAAATCTGCTTGTTAAAATAAAAAACCATAGTGAAAAAAAAATTCTTGGAGAAGTAACTCTGAAATAAAATTTATATTAGCAAAGATTACCAATTGTATAGATGATGAGTATCAGTGATTACTATATTACTGCCTGTCCTGAGTTAAATGCCATCACACTTTTGTTTTCTGATCAGAAATTTAACGTATAGTTTCAATTCTTGGCTTATTAGCTCTTTCCAATTAGAAATACACAATCTGGATTGCCATTGCTGGCACGGTGAAAGGGTTCATCACATTCTGCATGTGTAACAAATAGACTATCTTAGCAAAAAAGAAAAAAAAATCCAAGTCACTTTAAGAACAGGTACCAGTTTCCTTTATCAAAATAAGGTCCTTATAAACAGCCCATATTATTGCTCTCTTATTTAGAAAGTGAAGGGACAAAATTTATCTTTCTTCTTTCAAGTCAAAAACGATTCCGTCAATAGGCACGGATAGGGTAAGATCTGGTTAGAAAAACTAAGCGAGGCGATTTAGAGCTCACGGGTCACAGCAGGCTTTACCTTCGCTGGGTCAAATGCAAAGGATCTCTGAAGCAGAGACATGTCCACATACCTTGGCTGCCTTCGGGTTTGGGGAAAGCTTGAATTTGGCCGCTGTTGAGCACCAACACCAGGATCCAAGAGCCGGTCCAAAGGAACCCCATTCTTCCTTTCTCCGTTGCTCTCTGCTGGAAAGAGCCTGGCGCCGGGCCCCTGAGCTGCAGCTTTTGTTATGAATGAGAAGGGGAGTAAGAAGCTGGAACGGACAGGAGCCTGGGCGCGGGGGAGGGAGAGATGCTGGACGGCCAGGGCTTGCAGCTGTGGCCTGAGGGAGGATGCAGGCCCTGGAGCAGGTGAGCAGGTGCAGCGGGCGCTGTCCGCTCCCCGGGTGCTGAAGTTCCTGCGCCCTGGGCGGACGCGGGCCTGGGCGTAGCTTTACTCCACTAGCTCCAGGAAAGGAAGTGAGGAGGAGGCGCATGCTCCATGCGAACCAGAGGCGTGAGGATGGCGTCAGCGACTCGGAGCTACTCCAATCCCGCGGGAACGGAGCGGGGGAGGGGCGACCGGCGAGCTCGCGTAGTTTTCATGCCGCAGTCTTGTTCGTGTTCCGACGTCCAAGTCCGGCCGGATTGCAGGATTGCGGGGTGCTAGGCATGGTTGTAGTACCTCAAGGACCGAATGCCCTCCCTCCCCGGGATTGTCAAGGAGAAATGGATAATCTTGTCTACTTTCGACTGGTGATTCTTCTGCAGTATCTGCTCTAAAATCACCCCCTGCTGCACTCAAAACGTATAATTCTATTATACCTATATAATTTTGTTATAATCAAAAGATGTAACTCTACAAAACCGTAGGAAATCCTGCTTTTATTGTCTTTTTTTTTTTTTTTTTTTGATGTTTTTGAATCTCAGCTCCACAGGCGTCTTTTGGTTGGGAAATTGTACAAATATTATTTCAAGTAGATTGTGCGCATAACTTCAGTTTCGCAGATGGTGAGACAGAAGAGAAAAGAGCCCTCACCAGTCCGGGAGATTGGCAAAAATTTCAGTTTTGTTTTCCTCCCAACCAAGTAGGTAAAAATAGTATGCTTTTGTGACATTCTTCCCCCATTCTCCTTTATACCTGAGGACCTTGATGCTCTGGGGGTCTTGAGGTAAGGGAGAGCCGTGAAAACCACTCCTCCCCTCATAAGAAAGTCAGAGGGGTGCTTCCTATAATCTGAGAACATCCCAGAAGCCTGAGGCCATTGCATACAACGGTCCTAGCCAAAGACTTTTAGGTGGTGAATACAAACAGCATGATGAGAGCCGGGTGCTGAGCAAGCTCTTCAGTCTGATTTTTAAGCAGAACTTGGATCTTTTCCTTCCAACTGCAGCCTGCTGAGGACCCAGCTGAATAATGGCCACAAAGAAGGATCCAGCACAATCAGGCCTTTGATTTCTGCATTCTCCCTTTCAAGGACCAAGTTACTTATTTGAATGCTGGAAAACAAACAAACAAACAAACCAACAAACCAACCAAAGAACAAATTTCCTTTTTTTCTGAAGTTTTTGAGTTTAATAGTAATGCAAGTATTTCAGTTAAGAAGACTCTTAAGAGTCTATTTGTTTGTTTCCATAAAAACTGTTACAGAGTACTCCTGATACTAGCAGTTATTTCAAACCAAATAGCTCTTTCTCAATGATGGCTAGCATAGTATTATTATCCTGGTATACTGTAGTCTTAATAATCAGCTGAGATATATATGCCATTTGTTATTGCATCAGATAGATACTTAACTTTGGAACCTGTACTATTTCAGATCAGCTGACTTACAGAGCAGGAAGGAACCATTGAGCATGAATCAATCTATGTTCTTAGTCTTATTATACAAGGTCATACTGGGAAAACATAGATATGTAAATGTTGTAATCCTAACGTAATGAATTTAACCAATATATATTGAGCACTTGAAATAGACTCTTGTATAAAGATGACATAGGTCACTGCTGGTCTCATGTCTAGTAAAGAGAAACAAACAAAGTAGCAAAACCAAAAACAAAATAACTATATAGTAGATAAGGTTCATGAGCAAGGTGATGTTCTTATTCAAGTATAAATGAGCAAACAATCCTAGAGGTTTGTCACCTGTCTCCTCTGTATGTGCAGAGTTCAAATGAAGTCCAGGCAAAGTGTGGTGGTTTGAATAAAAATGGTTGCCCATGGGAAGTGGCACTATTAAGATATGGGACCTTGTTGGAGTGGGTGTGTTACTAGGAGGTGGGCTTTGAGGTTTCCAAAGTTCAAACCAGCTTAGTGGCTCCCTTTCTTTGTGCTGCGTGTCGATCCAGTTGTAGAACCCTCAGCTACCTCTCCAGTATCGTGTCTGCCTGCATGCTGCCATGCTTCCCACTGTGATAATAATGGGCAAAATCTCTGAACTGTAAGTCATCCCCAGTTAAATGTTTTCCTTTATAAGAGCTGCCTTGGGCTGGGCCTGGTGGCACATGCCTTTAATCCCAGTACTTAAGAGGCAGAGGCAGTTGGATCTCTGTGAATTTGAGGCTGGCCTGGACTACAAAGCAAGTATAGAACAGCTGTGTAACAGGGCTTGTTACACAGATAAACCCTGTCTCAAAAAACCAAAAACAACAACAACAAAACTTGAAAAAAATCAGATATTTTGTTAGTATTAAAAAATGCCTTTACATATAAGAATTAAATATTTTAGTGGTATATTGAATTTACAAGAGAGTAGTGGCATTGACATAGATGATCATGAAAAGACACATAAGAGCTGTACGACACACATTTGAGTCTGTCGCTGTGGCCCACGTGTCTTTTAGCACACAAGTAGATCAACTGGCATGTGGAAAGATGACTTCTGAATTGACAGTGAAGATGGAGATATCTGTGTGGTCTGGTGGCACACACCTCTAATGCCAGCACTCAGGGTGTGGAGGTAGTACGATCAGAAGTTCAAGGCCAGCCTGGACTACCTCAAAAAGCAAACAAACAGCAGGAAAATAGGTAGAGACAATCAGAAGTTATGCCAATTTAGTATAGAAAAGGCACGACATTATTATTAATAAGCGATTGCTGGACTGACTGTATTACATATTTTATTATAGAAGATGTCAAATATAAAAGTAAACAATATATGGAAATTAGCATCATGAATCTGTTGTCCAGCTTCTGTCATCATAATCCCATGACTTCTTGATATTCATTCCGAGCCACTTATATCTCCTAATGAATTAACTACCCATAAAAGCCACAGATTTCATTTAATTTCATCCATAAATATATCAGTGCATTTGTCTAAAAGATAAAAATAATTTTTTTTCTAATGAAACTGTCTGATTTTAAAGAAAACTTTCAAGAATAATACTGTTTTAGTATGCCAAATATCCAGAGTTTAAGTTTCCTAATTTTCCCTGTAAGTATTTTTACAGTTGGTCTGCTTGGACCAGGATTTAAACAAGGCTGTTCACTGCGTTTGACTACAGGTGATAGGGGGGCATTTCTAAAAATACAAATAAAGAAAAATGAGGGCAATTGAAATCACGCAACCTTCCATGCATCTGATAGCAACAACGAGAGGTAGCTAGGATGTGCTTTCTTTTTCTAAGTCAATATTTTGTGTGAATATTTGTAACCCTGTTGCTGTAAATATATACTCATGTATCTGTCCTGCCAATACAACCCACAACTGAATTTATAAAGGGAAAAAATCTTTCTGAAGTTATTGGTCTTTTACACAGTATCTGGAAATTCATTTGCCTAAATAAATTAATGAGGTGGTAGAGGGTTGCCTACTTACGACAGGTTTCTAAATGTTGAAACTATGCTGGCTGTCCCAGCTCAGAGGATCATGACACTCTCAGAATGGTTCCCCGTTCAGCATTTTCATGAAAAACAAGTATTCTTGTCCAGGAGATATTTACAAGAGGCCCAAGAATTGAGAGTCTGAGCTGTTAAGGCACTCAGGGCTGCAGAGTGATGGGAATGGATCTGCTGATGTGAGAGGAAATGACCCGGGGCGTTCGTACTTGAGATGGCTAATGGTCCGGTGCAAAGGAGAAGTAAATGTGGAATCTGGCAGTGTACCATCAGAGAGATGTAATAACCAAACTGAGTGCAACAAATAGCGTGACTAATGCGGCCACAAAAGAGGAAATGAAAAAAGAATATGAGCAAATAAACTAGCTCAGATGGTGAAACGTCATAGGCCACCTACACACGGAAAGTTCCAGGGCTGAATCCGAGAGTGGGTGGCTGGAGAAGGTGGTTGCTCAGAAAACTTTTCTGGGTCACTTATCTTGTACTGTGGTTGAATGAGATTAAGCTAATGGCTTGGCTCAGAGGCTGTGGTAGGAAGATGTGGGACGCTGTGGACACTTCCTCCAGAACCACGAGGAAGAAGGGTTTCCCAGAATGAGTCTAGGTAGAGAGAAGGCAAACAAACTATTAGGTACTTTCCATTTTCTGATTTTTGAAACACTATTTAGCACACACAACAGTACAATATTAAAACATATCAATCACAACTGAGTGAAATAATCTGCACTGATTCCTATTACAAGGTGTTGAGGCCTGGTCCTTTTGGCATAAGTATAGCCATTTTTGTTTCAGGCCCGCCAGCCACATCATCTCAACTTGTTGCTGACGTAGAAGAATCTCTGCACAGGGTGAGGTTGACCAAAAACTATGTTTATGTTCAGCATATTCTGTGGCCCTGTTGTTCCTAGAAATTCCCCAGCCATAAGCAGAGCTGGCTCTAACCATAAACTTCACTTGGGACCAATCAGATTAGAGGTCAGCTAGAACTGCTTGTCTAGTTAGCTAAAAAATGACTTGAGTCAGAGCTGACCACCCTGTACCACCACCATGAGCTAATTGTGGTTTCTGCCTTCATAACCTGACTCTAGTAAACACGTCGATGTCACAGTTAGGCTCCCGAGTCCTTCTGCAGCCCTGATGGCAATCAGCTTGGGAAAGGCGCCCAATAAACCATCAGTGTCTCACTGAGATTGGTGCTCAAGTGATTTGTGTGGCTATTCTTGTACTATAGCAAAGGTGTGCCTTTTTCTCTGTATTTACGTGCGTGCACAATTATGCATAGAGATTTATCACAAAGCCTATTTCCCATTGTACTTCTGGTTGGTCCCTGGTTGGGATTTTATTTCTTTTGCTGGGTAGTTTAGAAAACCTTGAATTTTTAACATGGGTATGCACTAGCTTTGTTACAAGAAAGTAAGGCAGTGTGGTCTACTCAATACTTTTATATACCACAGTGTTTCATAGTGTTACATTTCAGACAGCTGTAAACTATTCTCTTCTGAGATGTGAGGACACTTTGTGATCAGATCAGTAGAAGGGAAATTAAAACTCAGTGGATCGGTGCTTTGGTCTTTTCTGAGATGCAGAGACTATGGTAAACAGTGTTCGAAACTATTTCCAAAGAATGTTGTTTTTACGTATTTCTTTCTTTTTTTTTTTTTTTTGGTGACATTCTTGGTGGAAGGAGTGAGGCAGGACTCATGGACTTACCTTAGGGCCTGGTGTATAATAGAGAGGCTGATACGTGCTTGTGGAATGGAATCTTACCGTCTTACAAACCTCATAGCAGCAAAGAGGATGTGACACCTTTTTGTTAAACCATTTATCCATGTTAAATGGCCAAACTGCTCAGCTCCCCATCAGCCCTGCCTTGTCTTTTCCCTTTCCCTGGATGAAGCTGCTAAGCGGTTACTGGCATGCTTGAAGTAGGTAAAGCTTCTCAAATGCCCTCAGGTTAAAGCCTGCAGCTGCCTCTGTGGTACCAGGAACCAGAGTTAGAGAATGGTTCCAGGTCACTGCTGCAGATACAGGGCTCAGGGTGAGTGAGAAATAAAGGGCACAGACTGAACTAAAGGTGATTCTTGGTGGTCAACTTGACTACACTCAGAATTAACTAGAACCCAGGGGGCTGGGTATACCTGTGAGGCATTTTTTCCTTGTCTTTTCCAACAGAAAAATATTTAAAATTTACCACTTGTTTTTTTTCCAAGTTTTTATTGGTTCTTTGTGAATTTCACATCTTGCACCCCAATTCCACTCATCCCCCCTCCCCTTGTACCCACCTTCCATCCTTGAACCCCCCTCTCCCGCCCCTCCCCATAAACAGAGGAAAAAAAACCTGGTTGTGGAAGCTGTAGTGTGTTACAATGTGTCCCATAGTATACACTTCTGTCCACACTTCTTTGCTTGCAAATGTTCATTGCAATGAATCATTGGTCTGGTATGAGGCCTCTGGCTTCTGCTACTCTATCAATATGGGATCCTCATTGCAATTCCTCTCAGATATTCTATGGTTGCCCTGTGTCATAGAGATCCTGTAGTTTTGGATCTGTAGGACCGGTGCCTTCATGTGCTCTAGCAGTTCATCAATTGGAGTAGATGTTGGAGTGGGCCAGTTCAAAGCACTGGATCTAGGCCTGAGAGAAATCTGCTAGTGCTGGCTTGTCCTGCTCTCATGCCCTCAGGCCTGGCTCATTCGTAACCCCTCCCTCCCCCAAGTCCTGCAATCAGGGCAGCTCTACCCTGCTGCCCAGGCACCGCTGTAGGTAGCTGGGGGCGGAGTCAGCACTCCTGCTTTCATGCCCCCCAGGGCCATCTCTGCCCAGGAAAGGACACGCCCCTCAGACATCTACAGGTACACAGGTGGCAGCCCAGCCCAGACGCACCAACCTGGCCTTTGGTGGCAACAGACCCCTGCGACTGCAGGTCTACGAACCCAGATATGGCTCCCGGTGGCAACACAGGCCAGGATCCCACCATGGTCTCAGGTGGCACCGCCGGCTACTCACATCAGGCTCTTCCTCACTGACCTCAAGACTCCAGTTCTGCGTCTCTTTACTGTGCATCCTTCTGTTTCTCTTTCTCTTCCATTTCTTCACCGCTTACTTGCTCTCTTAGTGGCTCCTGCGGTCTCTGACTGTCTGGGGTTGTTTCAGGAGTGCTGTGCTCTACTCGTACATTATGGCACTGGGCAGGGGTCATCTTGGGCATCGTCTGTTTCCCCAACCCAGGCCTGCCTGGCACTGGACTGATGTTCATCTCAGACTAGCTCCCCGTCCGGGCTCCGTGGTGCTTGTCTGGTGGTCCTCTCGGGCTTGCTCCTCGCCTGGCTGCCTGAGTGACCCCATTCGAAGGCTGTCTGTCTTGGGCTAACTCCTGCCCAGATAGGGTTCTTTCTAGTCTCCATCTTACTCCCTACCCTGCGAGCCGGTCTGGGCCTGCGTGGCACACGACTGGTGGTTGTTTCAGGCTAGCTCCCTGGCTGAGGTCCCTGGCACTGGACTGGTGGGTCGTCTGAGGCTCACTTTGCAGGAAACGTTAGGCTACTGATCGGGAAGATGCTCACAGCTCAGAACACTGTGTAGACACAGCCTTTCTCCTCTCTGCCACCTACTGACGCACAGGAGACACAGCAGCCACACCCGCAGCAACACCAGCCAGGGGCAGGGGGATTTTTCTAATTTAAATCATTTGAAGTGAGAAGACTCACTTCTCTCTCTCTGTCTCTCCCTCTCCCCTTCTCTCTTCCTCCCTCCTTTTCTCTCCTGCCGACAGGGTTTCCCTGTGTAGCCCTGGCTGTCCTGGAACTCACTCTATAGACCAGGCTAGCCTTAAATTCAGAGGTCCACTTGTCTCTGCCTCCTGAGCGTCCTATCAAAGGCGTACATTACCACCACCTGCCTGGGAAGGCTCACTTTTAATCCAGTTCTTTTGAAGTGGGAAGGGCCACCTTTAATCTGGGCTGTACCTTCTGCTGGCAGCCTGTAATAAAGGGCACGTGTGTGAATGTAAACATGTTTTTGTTTTGATCCCAGGTGTACGATATGGGACTGATATAGATGGTCCTCAGCAGCAAACTGTTTGCCTCGTGGGGGCTCTGAGAGGGGACTCTTTGCCAGCTGCAGATAGTTTAATTCTGAGGACTTGTTGGAGAGAGAGTAAATGCCAGAGCCTGGAGAGTGACGGGGCTGCCCTGAGAAATAAGAAGGCTGCTGGTCTCCATTTTTACTGCTCCTGATCAGGTTGGATGAGAAGAAGTTGGAGAGATCCTGAAACAAAGATTGGACTTGCCCCAAGGAACCCAATGACCCTAGCCAGCAGGAAGTGGCTAAGAAAAATTATGTCCCCTCCCCTCCACTAACCTTTTCTTTCTCCTACCTGGTATCAGGGTGTTGGAAGGAGCGGGGTGGAGAAGGGAGAAAGAGACGTAAGAAACCCAAATGAAATAGTAAAAAAAGGAGCCCTACAGACATGGAAGAAGGAAGCTTGCTCTCTTTGCCTGCTTGCCCTCACTCTCAGTGGTAAGTCCATCCCTTCACTGGCATTAGAGCCTATTTAAGTGGGATTCTGGCATATATTGAAAACCATCAAAAACATCCAGCCTTGTGGACCAAACAACTACTGGATTTTTGGACTTAACCATTGGTAGACAGCTATTGTTGGACTAGCTGGACCATGGTTTGTAAGCCATTCTAATAAATTTCTATGTATCTGTCTTATCTGTCTGTCTTTCTATCCATCTTCTATTTAAGTTTATTCTATAAGTTCTGTTTCTTTAGAGAACCCTGACTAATACACTGGGTTTCTTGCTGTAGAGTCTAGCCTTGGAGGATCTGGTAAAACACAATTATGTGTTGCTTAATGACAAGATAGAATGTGTCACAGGGTCATCATCATCGAAGATGCCTCTACAAACCAAGGAGGCTGTGTTGTTTCTGTGTTACACAATCTTATGGGACCACCATCTTCTGGAATCTTCTTTTGACCAAGGGGTTTTCAGTGCCACAAATGACTACTGAGGGCAGTGTTCTCTTGTGGATCTGCACAAGACATTGGCCCAGCAAAGTTCATTCAGCTTCTAAGTTCAGGCCATTCTTGATTTCTCAGATACTGTGTTGACCAGGATGGCACAGAGGAAGCTATTACAGACCATTAGGACTGTTTGTCAGATGCAAGAGAATGCTTGCATTCTCAATGGTCAGGTTTGTGCAAAACTGGAAGAGCAGCTGCTACACCGAAGCTGTCTTTCCTCATTTAATTTCCCCATTTGAGGTCAAGCAGGGGCAAGGTAGACATAGATACACACGCAACTCATTTATGTCCAGGAGGATTGCTGTTACCGAGCTTAGAGTGTGGTAAGACTAACAGAGTACCCCAGATAAGAGTTTTAGAGAGCCATCAAAATGACTCAGCGGGTAAAAGAACTTAAGGCCACCAAGGCTGATGACCTGAGTTTAATTTCTGGGATTCACATGGAGAGAGCTGGCTCCACATGAGTTTTCATCACACACACACACACAAATGAATGAATGAACAAATGTAAGAGCAGGAAGAAAACATTGTTCTCTGGTCAGGATAGAGTGGATCACCATATTGGGACCTAAAAGAAAGAATCAGAGTTGAAACAGAAGGGAAACTCTTAAGAACTAGGAGTGACGCCAGTGTAGAAGAATTTCTGATGTGTTAGGCCGATGTCTGCAATGGCTCTTTGCACAGTTCTTCTAACCTTCCAGATTATGCCTGGCCTAATCAAAGGACATGGAATAGAGTAACCAGGATGCATAGAAATAACCATGAGTCTTGAAATGTTCACAAAACTCATGGTAGAGCTTAGCTGCTTACCGCTTTTCCTCTCTTCCCCTGTCCCTCTTCCTCACCCCTTTCTTCTCCATTTTTGATAAAGGGTCTGGATATGTATGTAGCCCAGGCTAACCTCAAGCTCATGATTTTCCTGCTCCAGCCTCTCAAGTGCTAGGACTACAGATGTACCAGCATGCCTTGCAGATCTTCATCTGCTTCTCTTCTATTTCAGTTTTTTGGAGAACATATTTTATTTATTCCTTGATAATTTCATACGTAAAGAATATGTCTTGATAATATACAGCCTCAACTCCCGCAGGAACCTCCAACTCCGCTTTCCCACTTCTACCAGGACCCTCCCTCTCCCCGTCTCTTCTCTTACCCACTCTTTTCGTGAATAACCCACCGAATCTAATCGATGCTCCTTGTTGGGATGTGGAATGATCGTGTTGACTGGCTGTGCGCAACGGCAGTGTGTTCATGAGTTCAATGGCCATGCCCCAAAGAGAACAGCTCACTTGTTTCTTTTATTTCGGAGTGAGATGAATGGGTCTACAGGATGGACTTCTCAGTTGAAGTTCAAATCTATGGATCCCGAAGGGGTCTAAGTTTCTAATGCTTGAATTCCATAGGAGAAATACCCTTTAAGTCAGACTCAGGAAGTGACTCAAAGGGCAAGTCTCCCCGAGGCCAGCCATTCCACACACAGCAGGAGGAAGCAACTTTAATCTAATTGGATGTACCCTATTTGGCAATGAACCAAACTAGGGACTGGAGGGCCAATGTCCAGGCAACAGGGCATCCCCAGTGGACCAAAGTAGCAGGCAGTTCCTTCTTGCTTCTCTCCATGTTTGGCTAACCTGGAGGTGGTTTCCCTAATTTCCCTTCAAAGACAAATGATTCTATACAGACTGCTGAGACCTTGACAAGAGGCCTGTCTGGAGATGTCCTCCTCAGTGGCTGCCAGTGGCAGATTAAGGAGCCTCTCAGCTGTGGTCTGAGCTTGTCCTTGTTGCCTGTGGATTTAATCCATTTACCTGACTTCTGGAAGGAAGTGAAGAATGCCTTGAAATCTTGTCTAATGAGTTGAGGCCACTTGGAGAGCAAGGGGATGGCAGAGATGTTTCAGGAAATTCTCCTCCTCCCTCCCCTGCCTCTCTTTCCCTGTATGTGTGTCTATGTGTGTGCACATACAGCTGTGTGCGCTTGTTCATGGTGTGTGCACATACACATGGAAGTCAGAGGTCAACTTCAGATGTTCCTCAGTGCCCTCAACATTGGTTTCTCCCCCCGCCCCCGAGACAGGGTTTCTCTGTGTAGCCTTGGCTGTCCTGTTGTAGATCAGGCTGGCCTCAAACTCACAGAGATCCACCTGCCTCTGCCTCCCTGGGTGCTGGGATTACAGGCACCCAGGGAGGCATGCACCACCATGCCTGGGTCAACATTGTTTTTTGAAACAGGGTCTCTCACTGGGACCCAGATCTCACCAAGAAGTGGGCCAAGCTACTGACCAGCGAGCTCTGGAGATCCACCTGTATTCTCTCCAGTGCTGGGATTACAAGCGCCTACCTTTTCCTTTCCCTTTCTTCTTAAAACCTGGTTGCTGAGGATTGAACTTGGGTCCTCACATTTATTCAGCAAGCTCTTTATGAACTGAATCATCTTTCCAACTCCTGTCTCAAGACGCTCTTAAGCTCAGTATTCACTGTGAGAAAAACCCAGGCTCTGCTAGAAATTACACCCATTTGTATTTTCTGTGCAGGGTTCATGCTATGGATGCACGTGGTGGTTATGGGATGCCTGCTCCTGGGGAGGGGGAGGACAAGTCTGTTCTTTGTCTTCCCAAAGCTGTTCTGCGAAGGCAATTAAACATCTTCCCTAGTGGAAACGGAAATCAATGCTTTTGGTGCTCCAAAGCCCATCCTCCAGCCTTTCCCACGATGGGAATGTTTTAGCTGCCAACTCCCTGCAGTTTCCAAAGCCCGGGGGAATTAGGCCACCATCTCTTCCTAGGTGTAATTAGGTAGAACTAATGCCTTCTGAAAGACAGTGGCTATGAGTTCTTCACCCTGTCACACAGCGCAGTGGTTAAGAAGAGCTTAACGTGAGTGCCTCTGTGGTCTCTCTAGCCTCACTCTCTCCCACTCTCCCCAGGTCCCAGCGCTCCAGCCCCATCAGCTGCTGATGCTTTTGCCATGGCCAGAGAGATCCCTCGCATGCAAGCTGTCACTGAGATTGCTTGGAATAGTCTCCAGTGGCTCATTCTCTTACTTCTTCCAAACATGAAGTCAAATGTCACCTCAGTGATGGGTTAGTTAAAGTTTCACCCTCTTTTCTACCCTTGTACCTTAACGCTTTATCTTTTTTCTTTGCCATTTGTCTCTTTTGAGCCTCCTATATAATTTATCTGTCTTTCCAGAGTTCCTATAATAGTGTTGGTCATATAAATACTTGCTGAAAACTTTGAATGGACAAATGAATGAAGCTCAGACATGCTTCCCTCAGTGTCCAACCACCCACATTTTCTTCAAGTCAGTCCAGGATTTAAGCTCATTGCTGCCAAGCTCTCTCTTTCCTTGAGAGCTTCAGTTCATAGTTTAAAGCAACCAGTATGATTTTAAAACAAAAAAACCTGGGGTCTGGGGATATGGTTCCATGGTAAAGGCTGTCTAGCCTGCTCAAAGCCTTAGGCTCCATCCCAGCACCACAGAATCAAACCAAAGAATATATGTTTCAAAGATAGAAGTCTGATTAAGGATAAGAGTAGATTGTGCAGCCACCAAGCTTGGAGACTTTACCAATTAAGGCCTGGGCATCATGAGAGAGCTACACAGAATGGGCAGTAGATGGTAACTGTAGCCTTCGATA